GGCTTTGGTATCCCAATTTTATTTTGGACATCAAGTGGTGACCCAACACAGAAACAAAATTGTATACAAGTAACACAAAGTGCTTAATATTAAATATAGTGTGTATTAACTTTAAAACAAACTGCATAGACCCAGAAATATATACAATTATGAGCATGAAATAGGCCGAATTGGTTGATGTTGGTTTCCGCATTCCGCATGTGGTTTTTCCTTGCTTTAAATGTTGATAAGCCAGTTTATTTTGCTCTTATCATAATGACACACTATTATATGATTATTTGCATTTTATTTGCAATTACCATTGTTTTTTCCTGACCTAATCAGAATGTACCAGGAACCCACCAGTTGAAAAGCACTGCTTTAGATTATGGTATGGAAATGCATTTGACATCTGTGATGTGTTTGCACAGAAAGTAATCAGTGTAAGCAACTCAGATGGAATTATGGTCTTGTTTTGAACATTCGCAGACAGTTGAAACATTTTAATCAAGGACCAGATCCAATCTGAGCTTGGGAAACCAACCATCAACTTGTAAATATGCTCAGTGTGTCTCTGTTGTGAAATGAAGAGAACGGATCTTGTAATGATTCAGGAATCGTAGTCTTGTTTTGAAACAGGATCTATAATCTATTCCTCATGCGAACAGAGCATTGATTGAATCAAATAAAGCTTGTAATGGATTTAAGGGCAAAGGGAAGTCACAATCATCATCGTAGAGATGTGTGGCGAGTTATTCTTCAGGGTGATTTATAAAAAAATAATGCATGCGCTGCACGCAGATGATCGTTATATGAGGCGGTGGGTTGATGACTTATAAATGAAACTCCTTCAGGTCTCTTCTCATCTTCTCTCCACATCGTTTCATGCTTCAAATTCTTTGTTGCTTTCACCCACCAAACACATAATCGTGTTTAATGCCAAGACATCGCGTCCTCGAATTCTTTTGAACTTTTCAAATGTAACTTATTGATGGAAATCATAAATTGACAGTTCGTTCAATTCTCCTGTGCCGAAGACGTCTGGCTGGCGGTATTGACAGGTTTGCGGTCCAGACTAGATGTCTGAAACGGCCCCAGCTCTCTATCTAAGGGGAATGAAATCAAACGTGGGCTTCTGAGCAGCGGCCCAGGTCTCTGCCTGCTCCAGCGACTGTAGGATTTGTTCATCTATAATTAACTATTAAACTTCATTGAAGGAGAGGTTGAAAAAAACAGACTACTCTTGGATATGAGACATGGCGGGAGACGGCGAGAATAATAATGCAAACTTGCTCAGGGTTCGTTAGGATGCTTTTTTGATAGATCTGCAAATAATAACAAACTACAAACAAATACGAGAACAAAGGGGGCCTGCTGAAGTCCCGAGCTGCAGCGCTCGATTCGATCGGCTAGTTGCCTTAGTGGAATTTCTGGATGAACTCGGGTCTTAATGAGTCTCTGGCATCTCTCAGACACTGCTTTTTCTTGCCCCCCTCCATTGTAAGCTCTCTCCATCTGCGATTCGGCCCATCAGACAGACCGCCAGGCTGTGACTATCTGTCACATTGATCTGAGATTATGGTATCAGTGTAAACACAGAGAGAAAAACACTAGTCGATGGGGTCCCCGTTGCTTCCAGTGATGCATCAGCCTTTGTGTCGGTGTGACCTGTGATAATCTCAGGGGAGAGAGCACAGCTTCGGCCCTTGTATTAGCATGTTTTTCTGTTACCGAGAGTGAATATATTTTAGATGCTAGAGCTTTTAGGCGAGTCAGAGTTCGGTTTATTTGGTTGGTGTGAAATGGGTTGGCCAAATTCAATGGGCAACAGCTCCAATGTGGACCAATGTGGACCTTTCTCAGCAGCAGTGTTTTTTTTTTTTCCTGCCTTGTAAATGTGTTGCATTAAATTCAGGATGTTTTTCAAAACAATCTCTTACAATTTTCACCAGATCTCACCAGATCTCTGGATCAAACCCTGAGTTGACATAGGACCTTTATAGCGTCTATACCGGGTTTGCTTTCGTCAACCCTAACCGTTCTCTAAAACTCAGAGTTTGTTCAACTATCTTCGTGTAACAGACTACAGAAGTCTAGCTAGTGTTTATATTTGCGTGTACGTGTGATCTCATATTCCCTACTGCTTAGCACCAGCCTGGAAAATTGCTTCATTATAAAGCATGAATATTTAAAGTGTAAATTGTTCTAAATATTGTTATTTATTCATTAGAGTTATTTAAGATGTTTTGCTTATGCCTGGAGATCTTTTTGGGTTTGTAACAGCAACAAACGTTATAACTGAATGTTAATAAGAGCCTTGATGGCTTTCATACGGCATTACTTGTGAGTGAATTTGAGAGATATATTTGCGCACTTGTGTATGTGTGTGTGTATAGTGTGTTATGTGTGCTGAGAGTTTCAAGACAGATTGTAAATAAATGCTAATATGGTATTTGTGAAGCAGCTATGGTATTTATATGGTATTTATATAGTTCATGAACTGAAATATTTACACTTATCTCTTACAATGTAGAGTCGCTGGTAATGTCACATTTCACAGTTTGTTTGTTTTTTAAACCTTGGCATAAGCATTTTTCTTAGTCTACTAGTTTTCAGACCTTGAAGTGTCTAACATAAACCCTTATGAAAGCAGATATGTTATCGTTCCTTATTACAGTTATAATTCAGCATTGAAATGTTAGTTTAATTTACCCAGTTCTTTCAGTCCCAGTGGCCCAGTTCTAGTTGAGTTTGCCCAGGGCCCGCTTTAACTCCTTCAGGGAAACACTTCCTGCTTCCTGTGTTCATGCAACGTGTGCTGCTTTACAAGGAGAAAGCTATTCCCAAAGCTACTCTATCCGGTCTGTTTGGGGACGAATATATCTTTAATTATGAATAATGATGATAAGTAAACTTTGTTTACTTTTCATAACATTAAATGCTTGGCAAATCTACAGCAAATCTGAACTAGGACCCCTTCATGGAAGTTAAAGGGGTAGTTCACCCAAAAATTAAAATTGGCTTGTTACTCACCCTCGAAGCATCCTAGGTGTATATGACTTTCTTCTTTCTGACGAATCCAGTCGGAGTTATATTAAAAAATGTCCTGGCTATTCCAAGCTCTATCATTGCAGTCAGCGGGTGTTGCAGTTGAACAGTCCACAAGTCGTCAAATAAAGTGCGCGCATTCATAATAAAACGTGCCGCAGATGGCTCCGGGGGGTGAATAAAGGCCTTCTGTAGTGAATCCATGCGTTTTTGTAAGAAAAATATCCATATTTCAAACGTAATAAACACTTTTCCTCTCACTTCCGTTATCTGTCATACGCGGAAGGCGTTCCGGTGGAAGGCGTATGACGTATGCGCAGCTCGCGTGCCTCTGAGATATGCTAGTCTCGCGAGTTTGTTTATAGGAGCAAAGTAAGCAAAGTTTCCTTACTTTAGCAAAGGAAAACCAGTCTCCTCTT